GAGAAATAATTAAAGATGTTGCCGGGAAAAATAATAAAATGGCCTTTGCATGTATCTTTTGGAACATAACTTAAACAGCTCATGTAAAAGGTAATTGTTCATAGGCACGAAAATTATAAGTACAGAAATAAAATTGAATCTTATGACAATATTTTTTTAAATTCAAAACAGAATAAACGCAAATTTTACAGTAGGCAAGTTTTTATTTTAATAATTACAACATTTTGACCCAAAGTGTCTTGTCATCATCATGTAAGAATGATTTGATACTGTGGGTCAAAACGTTTTAATTATTAAAACAAAAACTTGCCTACAGTAAACATTGCATTTATTTTATTTTGAAATCATTATTCATATCAGTAACTTTCTCATCAAACATTAATATTTTGTTTTGGCGGCTAACTGTAAGTGCTGACCAGTAAGTTGATATACTTAATGGTTTAATGTACATGTCCAGGCAAACCATTAAAGATTTTTTGTGTGCAAGTTTCAAACACTGTCTGGGTTTCAATATGACATGAATATTAGTATCTATGGCTTCATTGTTCTAATTTAGTGTATGAATGAATGGATTTTCATAATTTAGACAAAATCTTCAAGTTACCAGGCACATATTTCGTTTTAGCAATATTCAGTGCAGGAACAATATGCAACAATATAAAAAATCCCAACATGTTACCCACCATATGATCGAGTAATATTCAATTACTCTCCTTACTAACATGCCTAATTTTGGTGAACTAATGAAAGAATACATGGATGACATATAGGCCTAAGCTATTATTTGATTCACTACTTTCTCCGCAGTAATTATTGGGTATAAGTTATTAGGGATAAGTAAAGAACTTTACAGTAAACCTACAATATTCAGTTACTTCTGTGTGAACTTTTATATAGCCAATTTGTTTGCAAAAGTTAAAAATTGAATTGCCATGTAACATTTTTTGTTGTAATAGAGGATTTTAATTCAAGTGTTATGTGAAGAGTCATAAGTAAATTAACCTTACATGTTTTGGGTGGCTAAAAATGCACATCTATCATCAATGAGCAAAAAGGTTCACATTAAAGTAATTATTTGAACAAATGACTTGTATAGTTAACTTATTGCTACTGTGTTTATTGTATCTCAAATGATCTGATGAGTTCTGGTATTGAGCAAAATGTGTTGTGGGCAATGAATATCAGACATACTATGGTTAAAATACTATTAGTTACTCTTCATCTTGGGAAAACTGTAAGGGACTAAATAAAGAATGTAATGTTTAAAATACAGTAAGCCTAATACTATTGTCCTATGACAGTTATAATCTTTTATAATCACATATATAAATAGTGTTTTGACCACTACTGTGTTTTTTGTATTTGATATAATACACAAATAACAATTAATAAAGTTTCTAAAGTGTGATTATGATATAAGCTATTTATAGTTTGTTTTTATTAATGATTCACTAGTTTCATGTTAAATATGTTTGATAATGTTACAACAGCAGGGGTCACGTGACGCTAGTAACATGTCATATTCTCGAACGTTCACGTCTCTTCCTGAAGTCTCGAGAGGTTACTAGATATGTGGTAGTCTTGTATATATAGACCGCCAAGAAGTGACGGCAACAATGTGTAATTGACAGTTGAGTCGAGCACATGAGACGTTCGTTGTGAATTATAGCGTTTGTTATAGTGTGACTGTGGAAATTAAGTGTATTGCAAAGTTGTATTCAGAAAGAATAAACCAGTTTTATTTAAGAAAGGACTTGTATTGCTAAAGTTAATTCGGAAAGAATTTTTATAGAAAATTAACTAACTACCAGAGACGTAACAATAAGATGTTTCTGGTAATCATCCATTGGCTGAACATTTGAAATTCTTCAAAAATTTAATTGTTTGTGTTATGTAATTAACTTTGATTCATTAAAGTAAATAAGAGGATATATATATGGTGTCATTTATCATACTAGCTATGAAAATAACACAACCAGTGTACAAAACTCACATAGATATGTCATAGTTTCTGTTGTGTGAAGTATCCAAGCTCTATTGACATTTAAGTACGTTGTTGTTACCAGTGAAAGTTAGGATATCGAGAAATACGGTTAAAAGAAAACATTTGTGATACATTAAGGGCTGAGTTATGAAAAAAAAAATGCAAATGTTACGCTTCACTTGTAAGATGATAAACTTTGAATGGCCTCTGCCTAAACAAATTGAATTCTCCACTTCCTGATGTGTATGATGATTAACCAGGATCATAAAGTTTTTAGATTATTTTTTGTCTATATTCTTTTTTTTTTTTTCAATAAATTTTATTGTTAATACCATTTGGAAATATCTGATATTTACTGTGCTCCTTACGGAACCCAAGATATCTTTAACGCTAAACAAGTGCTCTATCAATCAAGCTAAAAACTATTACTGATGAGGCACTTTTTAAGAACTCAGACAACCAGAGTGTGCCATACTTGAAATTACTCTGTTTCTTTTCACAACATTAATATATATATATATATATATTCATTCATTCTTCCATACCACAATATAAGGATCATAATGTCTTTTTTATATAATAAGATCACACTCTTGTTTTCTGTGCATATTTAACTCTTTGCTCATACCTTGCATACTTTCAACAGTCTGTTTATGCTAATGTTAGTTTTAGGTGGAAATATTTCAAAATATAGCCTGTTAATAAGAATATATGGACACCTTAGCTACATAATTTTGTCTTTTGTTATTAATATAGAAATTATGTACTTTAGAAATATTTTAAAGAATGATTTTTGAAAACATTAGCTTAATTGAAATTCTATTTTCATTTTAATCTTATTAAATCTATTTTGATTATACAAAATTATATGTAACATTTTCATGCATATTTGTGAGTTAATTTTATTTGATGGCAACCTAGATCATCTGTGTTTGATCAGGAAGTAGAGGAATTAGATGAAGAAGAGTGTTTAATGGAGCTAGCAGCTTACATTGGACACATTTGTGTCACTGCTTTGATGCTGAATCCCACCAGTCCACCATTGCTAATGTATCATATCTTGCGATTCTATCACATGGTGAGTAATAAGCTGTATCATATAGAATGAATAACTTTCTAAAAAATGCTCTGATTTATTTTACAAACATAACAGATATTCTTGTGATGTTCATATTCAAGGGTCTTTAATGTATTGGTAAACTTAATGTTTGTGTTAAGAATGTTTGGACACAATCAGTTCAGTGATGTGACTGATATCAAGTAACATATCAAAAGACTTAATCAGGTTTTCAGTAAATTTAACAAGTACATTTACGCAATTTATGAAAACAGGTTTTACTTAAATGTTTAGTAGTTGATAAACGAATTCTAGTGTACTGTATAAATGCATTTCATAGTATCCAGATTTGTATTTAATGCAATTTTCTCTATAAATAGGGGATACATTTTATTATTAATAGAACATTTAAAAAATATTATGGAAATTGTTATTTTCACAATAGAATTTCTGTGTTATACTGTTAGTATCAGATAACATAAATTTTGGTACATATTGGATATATATTTTAATTATCTTTTGTATTAATCGTTTTTCAGTATAAAGAATATTCTGGTTGTATTAAAACTTGCATATTTTTGTTTTTTATAAACTATTATAAATTTGACATCTTAATGAGACACACATACATGCAAGTCTACCATGAAGCAATAAATCTCCTGTTTGAGTTAAATAACTGAACTTTATAAGAATACATTTTGAAAAACATTACAAATAACCTCAGCTAATGTTACAAAGTTTTGAAATTATTAGTCATAAATTTTCCAAACTTTGATAAACTTTACTACATGAGAAACATGTGAAAAATAGGCTTTGAAACTAGTACTCAAGATATGTTTTATATTATTTTTAATGTTATTTTATTATTGATATTGTCACATTTGAGCTTCTATTGCTGAAAAATATATTTCAAGTTCTATAGAAAATGTTTTAGAAAAATGGTTTTGTTGTTTGTGTAAGATATTCATATCATGTAAGAAAGTTATAATATAATTAGTCATAACGATTGCTATAGATTAATTGTACATGTAACTGTAGCTAAGTGAATAGTCGAGTTTTATATCAAAACTTGTTGTTGTATGATTCCTAATACTGAAAATTCAGTTTTTTAAAGTTAGTCACTAATTTGATGAGAAATAACCTTATTTTGTGATTTTATTACTTACTTATAGAAATTAATTTTATCTAATGTGTCGCTAATGAAGGAACTGTTGTTTTAGTTAATTTAATAGTCAAAAACTGAAGTTTAACATAACATATAACACACTGCGTTTTAGCCAACTAGTTAGTTTCTGATGGCACCATTAGTTATTCTTGTACAAAATTTTTAATATAATATTTTTACATGATATTTGTGTTGCTGCATTAAATAGTAGGAAATGTTAGAACATGATGCTAGTTATGTATCATAGTATTATTCTTATATCTCACTCATTAAATATGAGAATGAAAATGTATTTGATATAAAAAATATATGTAAACATCTAAGATACTATGATTCATAGCATTATAACGTATGCAGAATTTAAATATAGTACCATACCTGTTTAAGCAACAGTTACTCTAATGGTATTATTTTACATATTTATTCATACATTGTGTGTTCAGATCTTATAGTTTAAGAGTCATTTCATGTAACATATTTTTTATATGAAATGTTCTTGGAAATGACCAGCAAAAGATAAATTTTTAGATTTTACAGTGAAGAGTATGTTTATTTTTCTAGACAGTTGACCTTTATTATACCCATGATACTACACTCCTGGCTCTACCTGCTGCACCTGTTGTGTATTCTTCTCTGTTTTCTAACAATGTCTTTTGTTTGTCAGAAATGTGCCGTTTGATTACAAGGTATGTTTGATTCAGTAGGTGCTACATGTAATTTGATTCAGTAGGTGCTACATGTAATTTGATTCAGTAGGTGCTACATGTAATTTGATTCAGTAGGTGCTACATGTAATGACCAAAATTAATTTTAATAATCATTTATTTCAGACATGCTACTCAGTTCTAAATAACTTCCAAGAACTTGTTCAAAATACTTTTACTAATTAAAGTCACACTCAATTTCAAACATAAAATCAGTATTTTTACTTCTGAAGAATGTTAGTCAACAATTTGAAAGCACTCAAGTTTCTGGTTCTTTTAAATACTACTTGATTTTTTGATGATCCTTTGTGCTAGTTGTTTCTTCATGGATGATCAATGCAAATAGGATATTTTTCACCCAGTATTTTTGAGCATGCTTTCTATTGTTTTTATTTACCTTTATTTTAGATTACTGCTGTTCATAATACAACTTTTTAATTGTAAGTCTTGATGTGTTCTTTATTCTAAGTCTAAGTAATGTCTTATCGTTTGCTAAACTCTCACTTTAATACTTATATCATTTCTATTTTTGTACAAGGTTTTTGTGCCTTATAAGCATTATACATGTAATATTGAAGTATAAGTAATACCTATTAACTATAGGTACAGAGGGATGATTCAATCTCTGAAGCAAAGGACAGGTGTTCAACTCCAGAGGCATATTGATGAATTGAATGGTTATATTCTTGACATCAGCAACACCATCTGGCGCAACAAAGCCTTTAAGCCAGAGAGTGAGTCTGTGCTGTTTAAGGTTCCTATTCCAGCATCTATATCTCACTCTATAGATAATCCATCTGAAACTTTCTTATTGTTATACCATCCTGCATTAACAGCAATCACTCAAAACTTTCTAAAGAAAGCTGGTGATCGGGTACAGCACCCTAAACAGGTGATATCAGTAAGTATGGGTCTATTTTATTTTCATATATGGTTTAGTAGTATTTATGGTATTGCTATAGTATTTATTTAGACAGAAGTTTTTCATTAATATTTATCAACTGACAGTTCCTTTATGGATAACTTGTGTCTTGTCAAAAAATAACAATTATATATACTTTGTCATTAAAGAGGACTTGACAATTTTATAACCAGGATAAAGTGAAGTTTAGGCTAAACAGTAAAATAATACTTAATTGATTTACAGGTAAAGCCTCTCAAGTTCAAGATGTAATGCTACTTAAATAAATTAGATGAGATAATATTATAATGGTTTTCCTATATGACTAATCATACTGAAAAACAAAACAAAGATATATAATCATTAGAAATCCTAAAGTAAACTAGTGACAAAAAATAAACCATTTGTTGATAGGGTTGGGAAATTGCTAAAAACATGTGAGCAACATAAAAAACTTAGCTTCACTTTTTTTATCTTATTTGATTGAAAATTATTTATAATTAGAAATCAAATATGAAAGATTTTATATGTTATGTAATGTTTGTATTTATGATAACAACCAGTTAAGTTTGCAGAATCTTTTAAATAGTACCCTTTAACCTCTGTATATTCTAGGAAGTTTTATTTTTTACAACTTATCAGAGTTGTAAAATAAAGCACTGATCAGTATCAAAGTGCAAGATAGGTTTATCCTTCATCACTATACATATATATTTTTGATTGATTATTGAACTGTTTGGAAAGAAAAACCTGTATCCCAAGCACTTTGTGTAGGATGCACTTGAATCAGCTGCATAAGGCTATTCTAGACAACTAAAGATCTTAGTAGAAAATAAGTTTTAAACTTATATCTCAAGTTATAAGATTCATTTCTAGAGAATAGAAAAATTTTATATATATACCCCAAGAAGTAATAGGTCTGTTGATCTATTTTTCAGGACCGTGCAGTCAGAAGTGCATACCTTCAATATTTAAGTAGTCATTACATGAGTGGAATCACTGATTTTCTACAAACCTTCATCAAAATGTCATGAAAATATATTTACACAATAGGAGGGCTACTTACATGGAAACATCTTTTTACTCTCACAGATGTTTTTTTCTAATATGCCAATCATTAAGATTGAAATAACATAGAAAAAACTATATGCACCCTTGGAAAAATGTTTGTGCACCTACTGAACTTCCTTGTATCCAATCTAATAGATACCAAAAAGATGTTATGCAAAAATTATTTGATGTACATTTTGTATTCAGAAGTTTCAAACCTCTGGTTAATGTACCATATTTTTCGGAATATAAGACGCACCTGTGTATAAGATGCACCCTTATTTTGAAGACAAAGTTTTGGGGGAAAAAAAGCTAGTCGTATTTGAAAGATTTTTATTGAACAAAAATTCAATTTGATACTTTAAAAATTAGTATATATTGTTCTAAACACAAAAGAGCTCAAAACATCAAAATAAGAAAATACCGTAAATAATAAAAAAAAGGTTTACTGTTATTTAGTTTGGTTCAAAACCTACAAAATCTTCATTGCTTTCACTGTAATTTTTTTTTATTATTTAGGGAGCATTATAAATAGTTATGTTTTTAAAAGTAAAAAAAACTACTTTTGTTATAAATAACACATTCAATTGAACTAAACTATGCATGCCTATTTAAATATATTTACACATGGCTTGTGTATATCATATATATACATATATATTATTCATACCTTCAATGTATAGGACGCAAGCAGATTTTGACATCAAATTTTGGGATAAAAAAGTGCATCTTATATACCGAAAAATATGGTAATTTAAATTTGGGTAAAACCTATACCCCCATTCATATAAAAATGGCAGGTTCTCGTAGAGTATATTCAACTTTTACATATATGAAAAAAGAGCACTTGTATGGCCCTATATATTTATATTTTGTCAAAATGTAAGGAAAATTCTATTCTATAAATTTTCATTATTCAGTAATGGAAAATGCATTCTACATATACATTCTTTGGTGCCTTTTTTGTACTGGCATATGTTTAGATATTATCAATATTAAATATTACCTTATGTAACACTTCAGTTTTTATCAACAACTAAAACTTATTTATTGGATTGTGGGGATCACTTGTTTAACCTAGAATTACTAAAAACATTTGATAGTACTTGTTTACAGTTTAACATGATTTTATGTAAACATTTTGACAATTATCAAAAGTGAAAGTACTAAGGATTTTGTGAATTGTGTATTAAAAGCCACTCTTTTAGAATCGTATATAAGTATTACTCTTGCCATTTCATTCTAAATCTACTCAAGTTACATATTTGTTTTCATGTATATTTTAACTGTTTACTTTTTTATCAGATTGATTTTTCATGCTTTAAATAAAAAATAATAATTTTTTACTGAATTTTTTGGCCAACTTTATTGATTCTTTCTAAAATTAATCATTTTTATTTATCATTGAAATTAAATATTCAGCATTGGAGACATTGTAAATTTAAACTTTTTTAAATTTTTTATATTTCTGGTTCAGAAATAACTTTCTGAAATAGTTAATGGGCAAAGTTTCATACTAATGTCATTTGTGAAAATTCAAAAATTTTTATTTAATTGATGATTAATTTTCAGTATGTTATGCAATAATATTTGATCTTCTTTCTGCTTTAAAACATGTCCAGGCTATGAATTAAAATAATGTAACTGTATATATTTTAAAAATCTGCAGAGTTATAATGCTAAAATACAGGTTTTGATACCAATGGTGGGTGCAGTACAGATAGTTCATTGTGTAGCTTTATGCTTAACTACAAATATATTATATTTATGAATCAGTAACAAATATCCATATGGTCAGTACTTTCTCAGTGCTGAAGTCAATTCTTATACAGGGTGTCCCAGAAGTCTAGACCCACAGGGAGAAATACAAAAGTTGTTCGTAATTTATTTATTATTCAAATTACGTGTCATTAACAGCCATACACATATCGATTCTTGGTATACTGTGCCATCGGGGTATTTTCTTAACTGAAATATGTACAACAAACTGACATTAGAAATATTTGTTTAAATTTAATAATATAATGTCTATTTTCCCTATGGATCCAGATTTCTGGGACACCCTGTATGTTTTTGCCATTACTTTCTTTTCACTAGTCTTTGTAACCAAATCGTTTACATAAGACATTTACTACCTTGTTAATGCATGTTGAAATTGGAATTAAAAAGTTAAAAGTAAGACTATAAGCATTAAAAAATTTTTTCAAAAGTAAATCATTCAGAAAAATTAACTAATGTGTGCTTCTAATAGTGAAACTGTTGAAATCCTGAATTTTGTCAGGCAAAGCAATATTGAATTTCTTATTGACAGAATATAAAGAAAAAATATTCCACAAAAACATTTTTCTTTCAATAAAAAATATATGTGAATGGTAAGAGTCAATTTGACACATTCATGGTTTAATAAAGTAAAATCAAGAAAACATCCATTTTCTTTATTCTTTTGTTTTTCAATTATTTATTATGAGCTGTTTTAAGGTTACCTAATCCATACTAAATCATCTTAGTTCAATTTTTGTTAGAAATAAATGAGCTTTGGTAGGGTTAATAAAAATATAAACTAAAACCAAGTTGGATTGGAATCCATGTTCTGCCTGACTGAATAGGCAACACTAGTATAATTAGTAGGTTGAAATCCCACTAGAATTACAGTTTTAATTTTGTTAGAAATTTAAACACTAAGTTGGCAAATCACAGCTACAAAATCCTTGACCAAGTTATGGAACAATACAAAGTCGTATTATACAATGTAAAATCTAAAAACCTATTTTGATGGAAATGTTGACTGTTCCAGCATTGAGAAAATAAACTTGTAGCTGGCAGCCTTCTTTATATTTCATTGCATCAAGTCAAAACCTGATAACACTTTTGTTGTACCTAATTTTTCAAGTATACTAGTAAAAAAATACGAATTTTTGTAAAAATGTTTGTACAACCATACTGGCCTATTAAAAACTGAAAAGAAGATTTAGCACTATTTAATTAGGCGACTAGACTTTGTACATTATTTTTCACACACACACGCTAATTTTCTTTGGGTTTTATCCTTAACATAGCAGAACCATCAATTCAACATTTTGCTGTTATAAAAAACTATACTCTTTACTGTAAACTTTCTAGTGTGAAGTCTTAAAATTATGCATAAACAAGAACATAATAATACACAGATCTATATGGAAAATAACCTAACAGCTACAGTAACTTGTGTACATAAACTTGTTTTGCTGGCAGGTCAAACCAGATGAAATTTGATAAGAGTGTACTTTTTGTATTGAGACTCTTGCATGTTAATATTCTGTCTGAATAAAAATGAGCAAAATGCTTAAAGGTATTTAGACAAAACTAAGATATTTAGTGTTGAAAAAACCTATCTTGAACCTTGTATATGCAACTGTGTGATAAGAAACATTAAAAGTTTTGTGTTACCTTTTACAAACAAGTTGTGTTTCATCGAACTAAGAACGTGGTAATATACAGCTGTGTTTCATGAAGCTAAGAATATACACTAACACAAAATGTACTTAAACTTTGAAGTGATATATCAAGGTCAGCAAATGAAAACTTTCAATAAAATAAATTTTAAATCTGCAACTTTCTGAAGTACCAAAAGCACTTAATGCAAAATTAGAAACTTATAAATGTTAATTAAGATTTCTTAAAATTAGTTTTACTTCAATGGCTTATTAGAAATCAGAAAATACAGAATACAACTATGCACAGTCTGACTTAAATCTCAAGTAAGTATAAAAAAATTGATTGTTAACTGAATGTAGATAAAGCATTTTAAAAAAAAAGGGATCATGAAATATGTTTAAAATATTTTGTTTGTTCAGCTTCCAACATCATTATTAATATACTCATTACAACATCTGAAGTATAATAATCTACACAGCAAAATATATATAAACACTTAACTGTAAAAAAGAGGAACATAACTAACTGATTACAGCAAATAGATGTTTTTGTACTACCTAACGGTAAATAAAAGAATTAGGAACTGTATCCAGAGTGGAATGTACATGATGTCATGTAAAAAAAAGTATTTTGGTGGATCCTGTAGTTACTCAAAATCCATTATGATTATTGTAATTAAAAATGTAAAAATATTCTGAAAGGAACCAAAAGAATTAGATATATATCAGTGTCTTGTCTTGTCAAAATACAAAATAATTGTACCTTTTGAGCAAAGGCATTATAAAAAAAGGGATTAAGAGCAAATTATTTTTCAATATCAAAATAAAGTTTTTAAAAAGTAAAGAAATTTGTACATGCATTATATTATAAATGTTTTTCTAAAGAAGCCATCAAACATGAAGAAAGCAAGTTGTCTTTTATAAACATAGAGGTTCATGGCCTTCTTTTTGCCCTGAAAATTCTACCAAAATTACTTGCAACAAAAGAACTCCGAATACGAAAGCACCAAAGGTCACCATGATACACGAAAGGGTCAACATAATATAACTCTTCCACTTTTGTAAGTCTGGATCATTCATATTTGTCATCGCAAGCAGACATAAACCTAGACAAGAAATGATATAAAAATGTAATATTAATTAAATGTGTATGATTATAGTATAACGGTTGACTATAGGAATTTATTATATAAACTTTAGTAGAGATGATAAAAATTCGTTATTATTATTACCACTATTGAATGCACTTACTGTAAGTGTTGTACATAAAGTTAAATATATGCAAGGTCAATAAGTGTAAATAGACACCAAGAAATGAGAAAGCTTGAATTAGTCCTAGGTTTACATATACTGTGCTAGGAGCTTCACTAGGTTTGTGAGTTTGAATTCGAATTCTGATAAGAAAATATCGCTTCGTCAATGGGCTAGTGTTAGAGTTAGAACTAAAGTGTGGAACTTATTAAAGTTGTGTGTATTTCAATAATAATAATTTTATTACACGTTTTATAGACATTACGAAATATATTAAATTACTCAAAACACGAAAATAAATGGAGATGATCAACATTTTTTGGACCCACATGGTGACCCAATACATTCTACTCTCTATAAGGAAGATCAGTATATTTCGTTAGCCATACTCAGTACAGAGTTCATTTTTATTTTTGATCTAAGAAGGTAACTTTTCTTAGCGAAAATTAATATTAATGAAATACATAGCACACAAAATTTTAAATTTTATTTATGAATAAGATTTGGGATTTTGAGAAGAAAGTTGTTTGTGCTTTCCTGTGTTACTACTGCCTTGTATTTTTGGAGGAATAACACACTCATCAAGACCATACATTTGAAGCTTATACATCTTAATTTCAGGCAAACAAAGCAACCTTCACAAAAATCGTTCTATATAAATTCCAATATAAAAATATGACAAGTCGTTTACATATTTTTTTTATTTGACAGCTTGTTTCTTTGTAGTTAAACACAAAACTACACAATGGGCTATCTGTGCTCTGCCCACAACGGGTATCGAAACTCGGTTTCTAGCGTTGTAAGTCTGCAGAACATATCAATTCCGCAGACATATCGCTGTGCCACTGGGGAGGGGCAAAAGAAAAGTGTTTAAGGATTGATCTCACACAGTGCTAGTTTGTTAAATTACACTCAGCCTAAACGGATCACGTGCTTAACTTAATAACAGTGAAATTAAATGTGAACATGAAAAACATGCTCTTCCCCAGTGGCACAGCAAACGCTAGAATCCGGGTTTCGGTACCCGTGGTGGACAGAGCACAGATAGCCCACTGTGTAGCTTTGTGCTTAATTACAAACAAACACTTTTCTTTTTTACCCAAGCTACTCAAACTATTATTATCAATCTTATTGATTACTTTTATGGGTATATATTTCGAATTTAGTTTGATTTTTTTTAAATTATGTTATCTCACTGTATGCTAAGAAATTGCATATGGTGTAAGAAAATAGTCGAAGAATCAACTGTTAATTATAAGATTAGACTTATTTAAAGCGAATCTGAAAATTAGGCAAGAACGATGTAATGATTTCCTCATCATTGACAAAAACTTAATGGCTTTAAGTGTTTTTTTACAGTTAGAAGATATTAAAAGTTTTTTATTTTTCTTATATCATTTATCTATGTAAGTGTGCTATATATACACCTGGAAAAAAGTTAAGCACCCCCAAATATTTTTCAGGATTGCTTATTGAAAATAAGGT